TAATTAAATACCGTCCAGAATAAATCCAAATAGCAAGATTACTTCGTCGTCCGAGACTCTTAATCGTGCATTGAGAAAGCCGCCTCTACCCCCCCCCCAATTCACTAGGACTCTCGAGAAAACGAAATCCCAAAGCCAACACGTACCGCCACGAGGGTTTCATCTCGGGTCCGAGGGCTATCCAATCATTTTTGGATCTTTGCACAATTTAAATTGCTGGCCAGAATTCCTCTCAAATGTATCTGAGGTTCCCATTCATGCGATTTTTTCTATTCATCTTGTGATTTGGCACTTAGGTTTAGGGTTTATGTTTGTTGGTGCATGTCTTGGACAGCCGTGCACATGCGTGCATGTGTGTGTGTGTGTGTGTTTGTATGTTTGTATGTGGTTAGGTTGCGTTTTGGTGGATTGGCGTTGTTTCCGATGCCCAAGGTTCTTAAGTAGACAATAGGTATTTGGAGGTTCATGGTACTTGCTAACCAATTAGTACTGCACTTATGATTGTACTTCTAACTTCTCACCATATTAGGGCACCTAAGGGGCTTGTAAGTGGGTTCTAAGTGATTGGTTAGTAAGTACCATGAACCTCCAAGTACAGGTACAATACATGGACCTGGGTTCCCCCAAGCGAAAAACCGTTGGCAGAGCGCCCCCCCCGTCACAGCTGCGCCTTCTTTTCCTCGCCTAGAAGAACTCTGGCATCTACAGACGGGCCAAAACTCCGCATCAGCTTTGCGGCGGAGCTTCCGCCCGAGCATGGGAACTCTCTTCTACTCGTGATAGTGGTGGCGGCTCTGCTGTCGCCGCACGCCGCTCCTCATTGAAACTGCTCAAAGTCATGTGAAGCAAGGCCGGCTGTTTCCCAGGACGGGGTCCGCCAAATGCAGACTTCACTGATACACTCTGTGCACGAAGAAAGCCTCGCGAATCTCCAGGGACACGCAGCATCAGGGGTGCGAGCTTCTTCTGCGCCGGCTGCTCTTTCCGAGCCGCCTGCGCGTACTGGCGCAGCTTGGCCTCCAACGGAAACCAGTCCAAAGGACGGATGAACTTTTTCAGCGTGGGCATGCCGAACTCGAGCTTGTCCTCATCTGAATGCCGTGAGAAACGCATGATGACTTCGATCACGTCTATCAGCTCTGTGCTGGCATTCACGGTCAGTGTCACTTGGGAAAGCTCCTCAAACATCTGAATGCTCTCTGACATGCCACTGCCCACGGAGGTAACAGATCGCGCGCCGCCTGTCTGAGGGGATCTTCCACTCAGCAGACTGCTCGGGATGGAACCTGTCTCAGCATCAAACTGGCTACTTCTAGAGTCTGCATCCTCTGCAATTGCCAACAAATGCCGTCCAGAGGATACACCCAGCTTCTTGGGCAATGCGACATGAAACACATCCGCAGGCACCATGCGTCTTGTTCCCTTGAGAGCAACTCGCAAGCATTGAGGCGCGCTCGCATGCTTGGCATTTGCAGAGTCTCTTACAAACTCCTCGAAACTTTTTACTGCGTTCCTAGGTTGCCCAGAAACCTAGGATTAAAGAAAAGGGTGCCTTTTTGGGCTTACAGGGGCTTCATAAGCGATCCTAAAACCCCCCCCCCCCCAACCCAGGATTAAAAAGGGTGCCTGCTTTAGCTTATTAAAGGGCTTCATAAGGGAGCTCTTTAAGCCCCCCAAAAAGCGAAAAGAAGGGCACTCCTGGGCATCCTAGAGTCTCATCCTGGACGATGAGGTCCACGAAAGCACGGCCCGTTGCATCTTCTTGCCTATGCTCCCAAGAGAACCTTATTTAAAAATATTATTTTTGATGTCCTCTAGGGTTCTATATAACCCTAAACCCTAAACCCTAAACCCTAAACCCTAAAAAATGAGAAAACTAATTCCCAAAGGGGGAATTCAGAGTTGCGTCTCCAAGAGTCGCTTCAGACAGCTGGAGCCCGCGCAGATCTTCAGGTCCTCGTCCAGCAACCTTCGATAGGTGGCTTTCGGGCTTTTAGGGTTTTAGGGTCTTAGGGTGTTTTAGGGTTTAGAGCTTTTAGGTCCAGTAACCTTCGGTTGCTTTTAGGGCTTTTAGGGCTTTAGGGTTTTAGGGTGTGTTTATATTCAGGGTTTTAGAGTTTCGGGCTTTTAGGTCCAGTAACCTTCGGTTCTAAAGGCTTGGGCCTTTAGGGTTTGTTTATATTTAGGGTTTAGGGCTTTTAAGGCTTTTAAGGCTTTTAGGGCTTTGGGGTTTTAGGGATTTAGGGTTCAGGGTTTAGGGTAGGAATGGAAGTGGATGTTCCCAATTCAGCTTGGAATGTGTGGCAAACCCATGATCTCAAGAGTAAGAGTTCATCAAAGAGCAGCAGAGATGAGTGCCCCCGAGTCGTATATAGTATCGCATTGCTCCTATTCACCAGAGGTGCCTCTCAATCAATGCCCTGCTTGCACGAGCAGCAGGTCACCATCACAAACAGCCTTGAGCACCTGGCGGAACGCTGACCTGGACAGGAGGGTTTTGAAGAACTAACATAGCGTCCTTAATATTTAGAATAGGTTTTTGGGAGAATTATCGTATAGGAAATAGAGGGACTGTGAGGGCATACGATGAGCAATTAGTTCTTCTCCTTGTACCCTGAAGGCTAGCAGCCAGAAGGTGGTGGAGATTAGGGCAGCCTTTTGGGACAAGTGGACAGCGCCTTGGCATCGTATCTGTCATTAGCCTTACTTAGGGTTACAAAGGCTATTGTCATTACATTACCATGGCTACCACGCACTGCTGCTGCTATTCTGATATTCTCAAAACTACCATCACGTTTACTATTCAACGAATGGGCAGTTCCCAGCTCATCGTATGCACAAGGCAAGAAAGCAAAGTTGAGAGGACACGCTCTCCTTCTTATGCACCATCCCGTATGTCAAGCGCGAAAGCCAAACTGAGTACGAAGAGCCTTCAAAAAGGATATGTAACAGCACAGTACTCCATACTTCTATTGCATGGGCAGTACACGCCTAGGCAAACGAGACCTTGGAGTATGCAGTATGGAATGGTAAGCTCTCGTTGAACCTACGTATTACCCTAAACCATAAAACCCTAAACCCTGGGTGTACCAGAAGGTGGGCAGCGCTGGCAGTGTTCATCCCAATCCCAGTACAACCGAGCGACAACAATGAATCGGCATCCTGCGTGTTGAGTGCCATTAGGATGCATTCGTAATGGTTCAGCTGAGTGAAGGCGGGGAAAAGAATAATGATCACAATCTGATAGATCCTTACTGGCATCTGGAATTCCTATCGCGCACATGGTATAACGTAGTATGCTGTATAACCATAGAAAAACAGCACTATAGTCTCCCCCCCAAAACAAACACCTCTTGGTTGAAGGGCACGGGCTACAAAGTACCGCCAAACAAGTCGAAAGCACCTACTGTGCTGGTCCAAGAGTCTGATTGATAAAGAACCACAAAGTGAGTGCAGATGAGCCAAAGACTTGCCACGTTGTCCACACGTAGCCGGCGCAAGAGCAAGCAGCAAAGCAGCTGGCGACGGTCTTGTCGGGATATATAATCCTAGGTGTCGATTTCAACAGTCCCTAAAACTATCTATAATTAGGGCTCCTTATATTAAACACTAAGGGAATTAAAAAATTACCGCAAATCGATACCTAGAATCACCATGATGGTCTGTGCCATCATCAGCAAGTCGCGTCGGACAAGGAAGTCTTCCTCTCAGTAGGGGGGGGGGGGGTGAATACGCGGCCCCTCCCCCAAAAAATGGCTGACCTTTTTATATGCAGTGTAGGATTCTAATATAACCAAAAGGTTCAAGGTTACCTACCCCCCTTTTATACGTAGTAGGATTCCAATAGAACCAAAAGGTTAAAAGGCTACCTACCCACCTTTTAGATGTAGTAGGATTTTAATACAACCAAGAGGTTCAAGGGTTACCTACCCGATCCCTAAGTCCTGGTTCTCCCAGGCGCTCGCGACCAGGCAGGCGAGCCAGCCAGAAAGGCAAGCGGCAAATTGGCAGCGAGCACGTCTTGCAGTAATCTCAGGAGCCCCTCTACGGTTGGGATCGATTAAGCCTACGTAGACAATCAGACAAGCCGCCAGCCAAACAAATGAAGGGACGTCCCTTTTTCGGACAAACTCGTAGATGAGGAGGCAGATGAGGGACACGTGCAAGTGCACCACGTAGTAGCACGCGGTTTTCCAGGATCTGGCCAATACCTTGCCCTGCTCCTCGTCGTGGCATGCTTGGGTTTGCGCATTGGGTAGGTTTGGTTCAAGACTTTCTGGCAGTCCTCATCATCCTCGTCCGACAGAATAATATGGTGTACTGCTAGCGGTTGTACTAGACTGCAGTATGCTGTAGATATGCTGCGTTGTTGGCTGGGTCTGTGTTGTCTATGTCTTACAGCAAGTGTTTCGGGTGTTGGGCTTCTGGCGTGTCCATTTTGGCTAAGTTCTCTTGTTCCTTCAAGCTAGAAAGCCTAAACGCTCCTGAGCCCGTTTAGCTAACGACCCCACGCTACCTTCCTAGTGAGGGCCCAACTCCCGTTCTGAAAGATAGGCTTAGAAGGAACAGGGGCACAGAGAATCCGAAACCTAAATTTTTGAACCCTAAGCCAGACCATAGCCTACTGCAGCATGATCTGGTACAGTAGAGCCTACTACAGACTGATATGGAATGCTACACAGTATAAAGGCACAACCCACTTTCGTAGACGACAGGATGCTCTAGTGTACTCTGGGAGAATAGAGCTCCAGTACACCCTTTGTTTGAACCCAGGCTCTGCACTGTCAGCTCCAGTACACCCTAAACCCTAAACCCTAAACCCTAAACCCTAAACCCTAAACCCTAAACCCTAAACCCAGTGTAGGTCCTCCATGAGGTGCTCATCAAGCTGCCCATTTCCCTTGGCCGCCTTTGGGTTCGGCGCTTGACGTGGCGTCAAGGGCATGTGCCAGGTGAGCAGCCAGTGCATCCCAAGAAAGCCGAGAAGGCCAATGATCCTCGGTCTTTCGTCTTTGGGGTGACGGGTTGATAGGGTTTGGGGGCTAATGGGACGAGTGGGTCCAGGGGTTGAGGGGGGTAGGTAGGGTGTTACGGCTTCAAGACAGAAGGAGCTCGGAGTTCTAGGGCATTCTGCTGTGCTCAGGGCTTCCGGTTTAGGGGGGAAAGGTTACGAGTTTCGAGGTGCAAGACTTTGTGGTTGTAGGCCAAGGACTGCCCGGGATGCGTGGGTGGCTCAGTGTGTTTTAGGGGGGTAAGGGAGCTCAATTTACGAGGCTGTGATTGTCATGTCGGTTGTACTAGCCGCTTGGCGCTACTCTTTCGGGGGTGCTTATCGCAATTAGGTTTCTTTTTGGGGTTCTTAGTATGGTATGGTATGGTTAGCTTTTTGAACTATGCGTGTTTGATATCCTAAAAAAGAGGGCCGCCAAAGGGACCTTCATCTTTAGAAACCCATATCGGCTGCCATGTGGGTAGAATCCTCACAAGGGATCATGATTTTGGTCCGGGCCACTCTCCAGAACAGAGAGAGCCCTGCGCATGTAGTGCTTGCACCAAAGTACATACATGGCACACTACTTGGTGCACTAGAGAACGCACTTCTGTTGCGGTATCGTAAGCTGGACTCTGCTGGGTCGAGCGCTACGGGCACAAAGCGCCTTGGGGATTCAGCAGCGTTTCTCTTTCTTTAAGAGGTATATAAAGGTTAATTACCCAATTAAGGGCCCATACTGTAACTACCTTGAGCGACATAGGGCTTCGTGCTATGTCCAAGGTGCAGCATCGTCACACCGTCGCCAAGGGCCAGCCCCTGTACATGCAGTAGTCTACCGTAGTCTAGCAGCAGACATCATCTTACACTACAATTGCTACACTTCAGCATGCGCTCATTTCCTATAATGAATTTCAATATACCATCATAGTGTACCTCAGTATGCAGCCAGTCTTACACAACAACCCGAAGAAGTCTTTACGGCTGAAACCCTAAACGTGAACCCTCCACCGTACCAGAGCCTGTACCACCAGAACGTCGAAGGCCGCGTCCATGGCTGCAAAGGGATGCAGGGCAGGAGGCAGGGGGCTATAGGTTTGAGCCCTAAACTGCCCTATGGGTAGTCTTCAGCATGAGACATGTAGCTGTCTGATGGTGCCCTGCCTTGACTTTGCTGTGGGCGAGAATTGAGGACACGCCGGAAAAGGGTGATGAAGCACACCGCAAACGCTTGGAAACCAGTCGTTTGGGAAGATGTTGGATGTTGAGGACCTAAAGTTGAGTTGAATCGTTTTCCTTTGAAGCTGTTAGCAGATGGCGCGCAAGTGCACTAATTTGAAGATTCTACAGCCCAGGATCGTGGGGCAAACCAGGGGCGAGCTGGGAGTCAAAACAACAACAGTAAGAACAGTCATCGCCATCATCATGATGTCTGCAACTTAAAGCGCTGTGCGTCTTGAAGGCTTTTTTTTAATTTCCGCGGTTCGTAGCGCGGTGGCACGGTCCCAGCGGGCGCTGCCCATTCCCGCCCTGGGCTCTCTGGGTACATGCCCGGGCGCAGGTGCGGGCGCGGCCTCATCGGATAGGAGTTGGCACCAGGCGTCGTGGCCATGATGCAGCATGTCTTTGCCGCCTCCTCTGGGGGACTTCCAATCGGCAGCATGGGCTCAACCAGGGAAGCCACGTTCCCGCGCTTGACGACCACGACGTCGTACTTGGACGGGTGAAAATCCCCCGTCAGTCGCTCCACGTCGGCGTGAGAAAAGAAGGCCCAAGAAGATCGCTGCAGCACGATCGTGACATTTGGGGAGGCCTCGACAATCGCCCACAGCCCCTCATTCACGATGGCCTGGACACAGGCATCCTGAAGCTCCAGCGCCTCGCAACCCTCGCCATAGTCAGCGCCGATGGCATGGCCCGCACCGATCATAAGCCGAGGGAGCACACGTGAAGCTTTCGCCGCCTCAGTGCAAGCGCGCACCGCGGCCTCGTCCGCGAGGCCCGCGATGAGCACCCGAGGGTGGGGCTTGCCTCCGTTCCGTGGTGCGGAAGTCTGCTCCAGCAGTCTCCGACACACGAAAGGCACGTCGCCCGACGTTCCTGCATTGGCGTTGTCACCGAGGTCCCCAAGCAGAACCCTCTGACCCCGATCAAAGGCCGCGTAGAGCTCTTGGACAGCCTCCTCCCACGAAACAGTCGGAGATTCAGCCGGGTATGTGAAGTCTGCGCGCCGATCCCAATACCACTGAGCAAGCTCTTGCGCAAGGGCGCCGTGCTCTTCTGCAGCGGCCATGGAACATGTGAGCACCACCGCCGAACCGACACGCGGTGTATCCTCATGGCCATGGCCAACAAAGAAGGATGCATCGAGCAAGTTGGCTTTGGGCTCAATCGACTCGTCGACAGGGCCGATGAGCTTCGTGAGGACAGGCGTGCGCCAGCACGGAGGTTCAAGATCACGAAGCCATCGGTACAACTTCTGGCCGTAGCCCTCGGTGGTGACAATTTTGTCGCCGGGCAGGATCACAGGAATTGTGATGACGACGAGAGTGGGCTGGATTGCGTTCTGAGGCTGCAGACCTAACAACTTCCCGAGTTCCACATAAACGAAACACAAGCTCTCGAGATTCGACGGCTGGAGAGTGACTGTGTTCTGCCCCTAAGAACAAATCAAAAGCAACAAAGCAGTTCTGCTCGAGCTCCTTGAGGGACAGTGCAGGAGCATTCGCAGAGCTTTCGTCTTTGTTTCCTCCATGTCATCATGTGGAAACGTCTTGTACGCGGCAACAATATCCAGCGCGCCGCCTAGACGCTCGGAGAAGTTGCCTGACGATCGCCGTTGGGTCGGCTCGGGGGCTATAATTCTTGGAACTGAGAGGGATGGGGTGTTTGTGCGTGTAGTGAAGAAGCAAGGCTCGAAGAAATGAGACTCCTGAAATTGAATTTGAACCTGGTGGCCGTGTAAGTCGAAGGAGGCTGCCAGCAAGCCAACAGGAACCGCATCACGGACAGCTTCCGCCAATTCGGCCTCTGGATCTTCGCTGCCTGATGCGCCCATGGCGCCGTGTAAGTCAAGGCAAATGCCATCGATCTTACTGCGCCGACCGAGTAAAGCTTTCAGAGCGGCCGAGACCTCCTGCTTCATCTTGGCAAAGTCCTCTGCTGGAATTAGGCCACCACACCAGCCGCGATACAGGCTCACGAAGCTCACCTCCACATCTGCAAAGAGGCCCGGCTCCGCGGCCCGCAATCTGCGCACAAAGCCCGCCTGTCGCTCATCTTTCTCGTACGCCTGGCCATGCAGCACCTGAATAGCGGCAATTCTGGTGTGAGACATGATGAGCACGAATCACAAGCACCCTGCTACGGTCCCCTCTACAGGATCCGGATTTTCTCAAGACATGCCTGGAAGTCGCTCAGCCGCCTCGGGGTCGGGTTGAAGACATTGGACTCCAGCGCGAACGACAAAATGGCGACGGTCCGCTGCTCCGTCGTCTCCGTGCGCTTCTGTCGGCTCGAAGCTGGCCCAGTGTGCTGTGGTGAATGAGGACGGCGCATGGGGGTCGCACAGTCGTGTGCAAAATGGCCCTTAAGGATTCTAGGGACTGCGGGGCTCGAAGTTGGGCCCTGCCAGAATAGAGGGCGGTGGTGAAGGGGAACGGACATCAGCCCCCGCATCAAATCTTCATGAGCAACCTACAAGAAAGCTCGGCATTCAATATCGACTGCCATCCTACCAATTTCGGCAGACAGTATACTGATTCGGTGTCCGCGCCGAAATCAAAGCTTCCCAGCCAATCTTTCGGCCGTCGGTGACAGTCATTGTAAGTGATGGTCTAATCTGTCTGGTCTACCGGAGCAACACTGAACCCTAAGCCCTATAAGGTACTCCTAGCCTGCAACTACATCGAAAGCTTCGAGCGAAAAGGCGAGATGCAATGGCCCTGCTGTGGAGAATGAGGCGCATGGGGGTCGGTCCCACATGCAGTCTTGTGTCGCACAACCCTAAACCCTAAACCTTAAACCCTAACCCCTAAACCCTAAACCCTTCGGGCTTTGCAGGCTTTCTGGTTTCTGTAGCATTTGGCGTGTAGGGTGTTGGGATGCTACTGTACCTGCGACCTGTCATGATGACTTACTGCCGACACAGGATTGACCGCTTCACCTGCATCTGAGCCTTTTGGTGGGTCTTGTCAGAAAAACCCGGAACTCTTATGTGGAACAGAAGCTGCCCTCATCGAAATCTTCCAACAAACCACCGCATTCAACAACGCCTGCCATCCTCCCAGTACCGGCACGGATAGTATAGCGATAAGCCTCATTCTATTCTCTGGTATAGTGGAACAGCAACCATTGTGATGCAATTCTACGGCGCAGGCCTAAACCATTCCGAAACTGCCTCCCTTGAGCACCACCCTCAAATTCTGTAACGTCCTCCCAAATGTGAAACGTGTTCTATCTACAGGGAGAATCCGAGTTGCACGTGCGCGAAATAACCCCTTCGAATCGAACCCTCAACCCTACCCCCAAACCCTGTGGTGCATTCAGCACCAACAACCCAAAGCCTAAAAAAATCAACTCACTGGGATGCTCCCGTCATCAGGGTGAGACGACAGCCACGAGAGGTAACCTCTGTAGCATTGATGTTCACTTACTCCGTGTTCCTGAGACCTACTCTACCCTCTCACAAGGTTAACGGTTACTTGCTCGACTGCTTAGTAGGATTTAGGGTTTATAGGGCTAGGGTTTAGGGTTTGGGGTTTATAGTGTTAGGGTTTAGGGTTGCACCTTGTGCGGGATTCACACCGGCTTGGTCAAGTTGGCTGTGAGATGCACCGCAGCAGTTCACAGCCCCAGCGCTGAATGTCCACATTCTTGGCTTTGTTGATCACCTGCTTCTTGCGGCGCAGCTACCCTAAACCCTCACACTTACGGGGTTTGCTGCACTTCGCTTCTGTCCCTGGATTCCTAAAGGAAACCAAAATGGGAACACCAGAATCTGGAGCCAGCCCCTGCCCCAAGACCGAAGCTCCGATGTGAGGGGCGGTTTCAGGAGGTCATGGGCTTGGGGATGAGCTGAAGTTCAGTGGTCCGGGCTTTTAGGTACTTCAGGGGGTCCAGGATGCAGAAAAAGAGCTGGCCCTATTTTGTGCCCTGTTGGAGCATAACACATGTGCCAATAGGAAGTGATCTCATATGGTCCGTCAAAAACCGACGGGGCCCAAAGGAATCATAGGATCGTGCATGTCTGGTTCACGCCAGGTTCCCGGTAAGGAAAGCTGTTGGGATGTTCCCCCTTAGTCCTTCATGGGGCGTATAGTACCCCCTATGACAAGCCCGATTAAGGAGCTGCTAGGATAAGGGGAACATCCCAAGCTGTGGAGCTCAGCCTTGGCAGAGCTTGGGGGTAGTGGGAAGCGCTGTCCAGAAGTAAACTTGACAAGCCAGGACCTTCATGTACCCTACCAAGAGAATCCCCCTGCTGAGCCCAATAAACATCCATAGTCCTTGCGGTAACACTGTTTGCTATTCTTATGTTTCCCTGCCTTCTTGGCCACGCAGGCCGCACCCGCTTTCTGCACGTGCCGGCGTAACTTTGCGTCGTCACAGAACCTGAGCTCTTGCTGAAAAGTCCTCAGAGGTCTAGAGGGCTGCCTACTTGACTGAGATTTTGGGGTTCACAAAAATAACGGACCCCAACTATAGACCCCCCCCCCAAATGAGGTACCCCGATTATCGTAAACCGCTGTATAGCCGTTTTCACATGTGTATCTTTGTCCAGATTTGTATAACTTTACGCGAACTTTGGGAGCGCGAACCACCAGAAAGTTAAAGTGAAAGGCTTCTTACTCCATTTCGAAGTCATGAAGGACGTAGCCAGGAATATATCGTTTTAGGCGTCCGACTTACCCTTTCTCCGTGTTTCCACCCTCACCCACTCACTCTCTCACTGCTCCTGCGCGGCCTAGGTGTATAACCCAGGAAAATCCTACAGGATGGAGGGCAGCTGATCCCCCCTCCCCGGCCAAAAGCTCCAAACCCCCGAACTCGGACCTCCGACGACGAGTGTTCAAATTCGCAATGAGGGAATTCGGTGCCTTACACGCCCCTCGCCCTTAGATACCGCTTTGAAGGCAGTATACTGGTTGAACAATTCCCTGATAGGAACCACGAAGTCCTCCAGGGCCAAGCAGCATGCAGAGAGTTATGCACGCGAGCTCGATGATTCGCCCCTCGTACTCACCGAACCCCTGACCTTGATGGGATTTCGGGTTTAGGTTGGGATGTTCCCCCTTAAACTCTAAACTAACAGTCCTGAATTGGGGGTATAGTACCCTCTATGATCATCCCGAATAAGGAGCTGTTAGTATAAGGGGGAACCTCCCAAGTTTGGAGTCTAGAGCTTAGGGCTGAGGTTCCCGCCCCTGCTGCGTTAGTCCACTAGAATGTGTGGAGGCTTAAGAGGCTTAGGAGGCTTTCTTTGGGCTTGGTAGGTCAGGGGTTCCGGGTTCCGGAGGTTCTCATAGAAAGCTGAAGGTTGTTCAGATGTGTTCGGCTTTGGGGTCCAAGGCTAACCACGAACCTTTGAGGCGGCCGGTACACCCGCAACTTCCTTTCAGGAAGTTTCATTGCGGATTTTGCATATCCTAAACTTCAAAGCTACCGTACCTAGCATAGCCCAAGCCTTAAACTACAGTGTTTCGCATGTCCGAACCCATTTTGGCAACTGGACTGTACTCCACACATATCCCAACCAACCCAACACCCTAGACCCTAAATCCTAAACCTCGAACTACGGTGTTTACCATGCGCTGGTAAAATTGCCAGTGCTGGGCGTTTGAATTTTGGGGAGTCGGTTCGGATTCTGATGGCTCCGGAAACCTCGGCTGAGCCGTAGGCTCTTCATCCCGGCGATGACGGCCTCGATGGCGCCTGCGCATCGGTTTAGGGTTTAGGGTTTGGGGTTTAGGGTTTAGGGTTCAAGTGGGGCACTCTCTGAATCGTGGGCCCAGCTATTTATGAGACACCAAATTCTGATAGGACCCTGGGCAAGCATCAGCAGAGAACCTCCATTTCAAAGTGTTTGACCTTAACTTTCGGACGCAGGTGCGGGGTGGTGTTTTCTCGTCAGAATATAGAGGTCTGGGCTTGAGGTCAACACTTGCGATCGGCCTCTCGGCTCGGTTTTAATTTCGTGGCTCAGGACGGCTTGTCCCAAGGTGGAAGCCAAGGGACAAGCATCCCGGCAAGGGCAAAGCAGCCATTTGAGCATTTTTTTTTTTCATTGTGTGGGGTGTTGTAATGGCATGGGTATCCTACGCGGGCCTACGCGTCAGCTCATGTTTAGTAGGCGCGTGGCCTACGCGCGGAGTATGTTGTTGACGTGTGCCTACGCGGACCTACGCGGCAAGCATAGACAACCTACGCGGACCTACGCGCCCATACTGCATAGACTTGCCTACGCGGACCCTACGCAAACCTACGCGGCCGACTTTCAATGATCGCGTCTCTACGTAGCCTTGCTCGTAGAAAAAAAACGCTGCTCATTTAAGAGATTACTGAGATTGATCTTGACTTTGATCATCACCCGGAACCCTGCGAGCGATGCGGTGCAGGAAATGGTCCCACTGAAATCCTAAACCACCCTCCAACATCCCAGTCAAACCTGAACCATTTTGCGGTAAACTGTAGGCGCCGTCCCCGCGTTTGTAAATTGCACGGATATAAATAGACATATGATTGTTATTCCTTTACACATATATTTATATTTGTATATAAACAGGAACTACTCATAGTTCCTAAGGAGGCTAGAGGTAGGTCTTTTCAATCTAAACTTCAACGCCCCTTGAGGCCCCCTTGGCCTAGCCGTGCAGCGACGGAGGCCCGGCCCAGGGTGTCGCAAAGGCTGGTGAGGGCCCGGATGCCTTGCTCCAGCAGTTCCGTGTCCTTCGCGCGCGAAGCGCGCGAAGCGCGCGCGAATTGGGGGTTCGGGGCGGCCGGGGGAGAGGGGGAGAGGTTGAGGGTTGAGGAGTCCGGGGGCTAGATATGTTTTTGGTAGGGCTTTGGGATGCTTAGGGTGTAGGCGTTCTGGAGCTCAGGGTTTGTTCATCGGGCTAGTTGTCTTGCATTTTAGGGTTTTGCTCGGGCACCCTTGCGAGGGGTAGCGCTATCTAACCAGCAACAGGCGGCCGGGAGTACTCGAACCCGAAACCCGAAACTTCGTGATCCTTGATAGGGGGCATTTCTTGCTGACAGACAAAAACTCATGACCCCAATGACAAAACCTATAAGCCTGAGACCGCAGCTTATACAAAACCCGAAATCTAAAAGCCTATAAGCCTATAAGCCTTAGACAGCTGCGAGATCCTCGGCCCTCAGTGGTAACCCACCTTCACCCCTGAGTCTTAGGGCGCTAATGCCATTTCATAATTCTTTCCACCTGCGAAGGACCAAGCGAGCCCAGGTCCTTCCGATAGCGCTGCAGCGCCTCGAAAGATGCCGAAGGTGGGGGGTTTTCTTTTTCTGGGGAGGGGGGAGGGGTTGGGAAGGCACTGAAAGCAGTTTAGGGTTAGGGGCGTTAGGGGTTGGGTTTAGGGTTCCACTGTCTATTTTGGGTCTTTGGTGTTGTAGCTATTTTGGGGGGTCAAAAGAGGTACAATGGTAATTGTTCCAGAAAGCCTTCCCATAGCCGGGAGGGACCTCAGAACCCGTCACCCTAAACACCCCAAAATGAACCACAAACCCTAAACCTGATACCTCAAACCATAAGTTTTTGGGATGTCCCCCCTTATACAAACAGTCCCTAATTGAATTTATGGTACCCCCCCTTTTATATTCCCGATTAAAGGGGGAACATCCCAACCCAAACCTGATACCCCAAGCTCTCAAACCCTCTAAGCCCTCTCTTGGGGTCCCCGGCGGTGACGGTGGCAGGGATCGCACCAGCTCTCACCGCCAGGGTCTTGTTCACGTCGCTGCCGTGCCTTTGGTTTGGGGTTTCTGCTTTTTCTCTTCCACCCATTTCGCATGCGTTTACGGGGAAAAGGTCAGATTGTACAATAGCCCACGTTCAGGTTGTGACTGCTGGTTTGGGGTTTAGGGTTCAAGGTTTATCTCCTGAAGTGGGCGGGGATGTCAGCCAGGGAGGCATGTACTAGGTTGCCCACGACCCCACCAGAATTGACGAACGGAAGCGAAGCAAGCAAGACGATGGACAACCCTAAACCCTTAAACCTTGCACCCCTAAACCGCTAGCCCTAAACCCTTTGGCAACAAGGAAGCGCCGCCTTAGCCAGCCACAAGCTTTCCGCCAAAGATCCTCTACTGGTCCAGCACCCAGGAGCGAAATGGACCTTAGGCCTCCTCCCCGTCGGCCACGACACCGAAAACCAACAATCCACCAAAGCCTCGAACCCCCCCTCACCCCCCCAAAGTCCCTAAACACCTAAACCCCGAACATCCCGAATGCCCCCCTCCGAGTCCCAAAAACCACTAACCCTAAACATCCCTAAACCCTTAACCCTAAACCCGAAACCCGAAACCCTGAACCCTCAACCCTGACTCCTAAACCCTGAACCCTAAACCCTAAACCCTAACCCTCCCTTC